AAAAGTGTGACTATCAGGAGGCTGGTTATCACTGCTTGGTACTTTTTATGTCTATTTTGATGTAACATGCATTGAATATAAAATTATAAACTGAAGTCCTATATTTTTATGGCCAGTTTGGACTCCCCCCACAACCATCCGTACCTTCACCCCAGCTTTTCCAAAAGACAATATCCAAAAGACAAAATTCCTTTTAAATATAAAAACTGTACATAATCTAAATAATCCACACACTCTAACATCCATGTCAGATTGTGTTTGATAAGGACAGGTGGTCTTAGTCTCCTAAATTACCTATAGATCTAATATGTCACGTTGTTATTTGCTTTCTTTTATGTTCATAAAACATTTCTCTCATGTATTTTACCACATTAAAGAGACACTGAAAAAGAGAACAAAGAAACGCTTTTACTCCCACCACCCTGTCCCAACCATTATTACTATTTTAGAGCATTCCTTTCCAGACTTTTTTTTTTCCAAAGTGGTTATCAAGATATACATGTTGCTACCTAGCCTTTTTGACTTTTTTTTTTGTCTTTAAGAGTACAATATATGTTGGATTTTCTGTCACGCATACACTGTTCTTATTAGGGAGGAGGAACACTCCATCCATCCACCTCTAACGCAGAGAAAACTAGAAGTGGGGTGGGTGTGGGAGGAAGCTGGCAACAGCAGGAACTTTCTGGAGCAGACGGGGTGACTCAGAGCAGTCCTCCTCCCTTGAAGGCAGGCGATTAATCAGCCTCACTGCGTGGGGTAGGGTTTGGGGTGGAGGCGGTCTCTCCAGGAACATGACGCCCTGGCGCATAAATCTGTGCTGGTAGAGAGGCCCACATTTGGTTTTATGGCTGATTTTAGCGTCTTGGGTGCCTTCTTCTGTCCAGAGCACAGAGTGGGTGGGCAGTGGGGACAGGCAGGCAGGCGGCGTGGTAGAAGAAGCTGCCAGAGGGAACGCCAGCTCGGGCAATGCACGAGTCCATTCCCCGGCACAGCGAGCCGGGCTCCAGGTGTGGAGGGCCCCAAGGTACAGGCCTGGAGCTCCTTCCCTCTTCTCTGCCCTGTTACCTAATCTACCCCCTCTGTTGTGTTTGGGTGTTTAGTCAGAGAAATTAGACTAGAAGAACCACTGTGCTTAGGAGTTTTGAAAGGCCCCAGATTTGCCCACTTTGACTTTGTTCCTGGGCCCTTCAGCCACACGCAGCGGGAATAGGAAATCGTCCAGTGGATCATGCAAAGAAAGCAACCGTGTCACTTTGGATAATCAGACCTTGCTTGTGACCCTCAGTGGCACCTCTTCCCCCACCCTCACCTTGTCATTCAGGTTTGGTTCCAAATGGCTTCTGTGATTACAAAAACCAAGCCTGCCACGGAGGCTGCCGACTCAGCCATCTTCTTCCTCTCAGGCAGAGCCTGGGGGCCCAGAGGACCCGCGTACCGCGTACCGGGCAGGTGGCTGCACTGTAGGGACCAGGGCTCGTGTGGGTTTGTATTACACACCCACGACGTTGTGGTGACTCCCCATAGCCCCCGTGCGGGCTGCAGCAGTGGGTACAGTGAAGGTGGCATCGCCAGCCCCGAGCCCAGCCCCCCAGGGCATCCCCACCGTGACAGACAGATGACAGACAGGAGTCTCACATTGTTCCCAGCTTAGGTGTGAACTGTCTGGGTGGGCAAGTTACACTGCTGTCAGGCCCGTGGAGTCCAGAGAAGTGGGCCAGGAATGGGGAGGGGGGCTCTGACGCAGTGTGCGCGGGGCACAGTAGCCAGGAGGGCTGGTGGGGGTGGCCAGGGAGAACTAAAGAGACCATTAGTTACCTGGCAAGTACCTCGAGGTAATTTCAGGTTTGTCTCACCCCTGTATAGCTTCTTGACAGGGCGTGGGGGGCGACGACAGGGCACCAACAGTGAGTGCTTGGTTTCTGAATGGTTGGAAGAAGTCTCTGAGCACCGCTCTGTAGCTCTACAAGGAGTATCATGTTGAGAACTGAGCCTTTAATCGGGCGGGACAGTTCAGCCCCCTGTTCTCTCCCCCTTGTTCAAAGGTAGGTTGGAGGTCCTTGACCACCCAGGTACTTACTCTGGTGCCTCCTGCGCGCTGCCCAGCCGGACACAGCTCTTCGGAGCGTTCTCGCAGTCGCCTGTGAGCACTGACTGATGGCACCTAAGCTGTTTACTCTTTTCCCTCCAGGACGGGAAGGTGATCGTGTGGGATTCCTTCACTACCAACAAGGTAAGAGGTTGTCCCTGGTGCATTGAGCAGCACCCCAGAACCCTGGCCCTGTCCTCTTCGCTTCCAGACACCCCCAGTCTCATGGTCATCGGGCTTCCCGGGTGCCCGCCTGGGGATGGAAACCCCAGGAAAGCCCATCTGTGTTCCGACAGCTCAGCAGCCCATGGCAGGTCTGTTCCCCTCGAGAGCTGAAACCGCTCCCCCCAGCAGGAGCATGCAGAGCCAGCAGAGAGGGTGCTAACACTTAAAACCGGATAGGGCCTGGCCTAGAAAACTCGTCACACTCACGCACGCACGTATTATTTTTCTCCTGAGGGGTGGTGAGAGGTTCCTGAAGCCCCCGCTTTCTCTGCCCTCTGTGTCTTTGACCGGACTCTGTAGCACCATGGACATGAGCAGACAGCGGGGGAGAAGCTGAGGTTGCCGGGGGTTGAACTGACTATCCAGTGATATCCTGCAGGTTGGGCCTAGGCGAGCTCGGCTCCAAATTTAACCTACATTTAGACTCTTAACTAAAGAGAAAAGCCACAGTCTTTGTGGAGGTGTGCTTACAAGCCTGCACTGTGTGCCATTTATGGTAACCACTATTGTGTATTCAGTCCTGGTTCTGTTATTTATATAAAGAAGGTCTTCTCTTCTTCACTATATAAGACAAAGAGACCTATATCTGCCTCAAACTGAGCAGCATCCATATTCTGCATTATTGAATGTGTTTAGTAAGTGTTGTGGTAGGCAGGTGCTACACAACCTGATCGGGGGCGGGGGGGACAGAACCATCTTTTGGAGCAGAGTCCCTAATGGTCAGGCCCCTGGGGAATAGAAAAAATGGCAACTTAATGGTTTACAAGGGTCTTTCCCCTCCAGCACCTCTGCCCATGGGAGCCTCTGCTTCTCCCAGTGCACCTTAGCATCTTCAGGAGCGTGTGGGGTTTTGTTGCTTCTGTTTAAGCCTTAGCATGTCCTAGAGCACACACTGCCTGATTTCTGGGGAGCCGTGGTGTTGCCACTGTGGCCCCGGCAGGGAACATAGTTTTTTCTTGTAAGGAAGGGGGCCTGGGGCGCCTTGTGCTGAGAGTGGCCATTTGCTGCAGTGGGTTATTCTAGGCATCTGAAAGGCTGTAGATTGTGAGTGACAGAATTTCCATGAGCATAACATGAATCATAGCAGGAAAGAACCAGCCTAGAATCATCTAGTCCCATCCTTTCCCTTCACCAATGGCCTGCATGGGGCTGCTCATCTTGCTGGTGTTGGAACTAGGAACCAGGGCCCATGTCTCTCATGGAAGTAAGACCACAGATGCAGAAGGTTTTGAGCTGTGGCTTTGTTGCCTGTTGGCATGCAGGAGAATGTGGGTGCCCCGACCACCAGCCAGGAGCAGAAACTGCTACACCTAGTTCTCATTGCTTCCATGTTATGGGGTCTCTGTCATCTGTGAGCACAACTCAAGATCACCCTGCCCTCCCCCGCCTCCACTCAGACCTTCCCAGGAATGGTTTCAGGACCCACAGGGGACAGAGGCTCTTGTATAGTCACAGGGCAGCAAACACAACATACATGTAGAATCATTTAAGAATAGATTTTTAAAAAGGGGGAATCTGAGTAAATAAGGTATAGCATGTAACTGACGTGAAATTCAGACAGACCTTTCAAAGAAAATGAGCCCCAATATTCATTCAGAAGAACAAGGGGAGTATAACATTAAGAAATAAGTAGGGGCACCTGGGTGGCTCTGTCAGTTGAGCATCTGACTCTTGGTTTCGGCTCAGGTCATGATCTCATGAGTCGTGAGATTGAGCCCCACGTTGGACTCCACACTCAGCAGGGAGTCTGCGTGAGGATTCTCTCTCTCTGCCCCTTCCCCTGCTTGTGTGCTCTCTCTCTCTCTCTCAAATAAATCTTTGAAAAAGAGAGAGAAGTAAAACGGTAAGGATATTATTTTGTTGGCTGAGATTTTTAGCATTTGGAATACACGACATTTGCTTTTGTTGATTCTGGGGGAGCTGAGTCTCCTGTCAGTCTCAAGCTGATCTTCACCCCACACCACTGCCCTTTGAAATGGTAATGGGATTTATCAGGAACTCCAGTCATTTGATTTTGCAAAAACTAAACGTTAATTTGTGTAGAAGTGCTGCTCGTTCCTTTTATGAAGCTTGCGTACTGTGTTTCAGGAGCACGCAGTCACCATGCCCTGCACGTGGGTGATGGCCTGTGCGTATGCCCCGTCGGGATGCGCCATTGCATGTGGGTAAGTAGGGGCCAAGCAGCTTTTCAGATCTCTGATTAGCCATAAAATACCGTTTGATGGGCAAAAACAAGCAAACAAACTCGAACTTACTGTTTTTGTTGTTGTTTGTTGTTGACCGGTTAAGCGAGGTGTTCAATTCCTCCCTGAACTTCATCAAAAAAGAAACTACACAAATCTCTTTCATACTTATTTTCATTATAGACTGACAGTAGCTTAAGTTTCAAACCTGCCTCCTCTACTCTCAAATGCTGTTGGTGGGGACTATAAATTGGTGCAAACGTTTTGGAAAACATGTTAGTAATGTGTATCAGAACAGAAGCCTTGAAAAATTTATAACCTTTGATCTAGAGATTCCGTATCTAAGAACTTGTTTGAAAGGAATGATCCAAAATATAGAAAAGCCATATGAGCAATAATATTTATTGTAGCATTATTTAAAATAAAGCAAAAAAAGGCAGGGTAGGGAGGAATCATATGTCCATCAAAGGAAATTATTAAGTGAATTGTGGGACATGAGTTGAAGGGACTATTTTATACAACCATTAAAAAGGAAACTTCTTAATTACAGTAAATGAAAAGAACATCCAGGTTGCTAGGAAGATGGTGTTTTATTTCCTGTTCTCCTGGAGCTCAGTTTAACAGAGTTGGCAGTAAGAACTGCAGCCAACATAATTCCCTGTCCCTGTGTTAAACAATTCTGGAAAATATCTCTACCATAGGATCCCAGCCATGTTTAGAAAAGAGGCATTAAGTCTGTGATGAACTATACCAAAAAATCCAATAGTAGTTCCTTGTGGATGATGGGACTATGGGGTTTTCTCTTTTTTATAATTTTCTCTTTTTTTATAATTTTCCATTTTTAAAAATAAGCGTATCTTGTTTTTATAATCAGGAGAAAGGAGTTTTAATTCAAAAATGAAAACACTTGGCCTCCAAGCAAAAAGTCTGGAGCCTTCTCCAGCCACAGTCACACCAATGGTTGTCCTCAACGTCCCTCCCTTTGAGTGGCTGTTTGGGGGCATCTTTCCATTCACTGTCCACTTGCCAAGACCCTGTGTGCCTTTGGAACCCATGGTCACACACATGTATTTCATATTTTCTAATTTTTTAAATAATTCAAAAGTAGGTTGTATTTCCATTTTATGACTGAATGGTATTATTTATATAAAATTCATCCCATTTCCCTCTTGAAAGGATATGAGGTAAGCACAATAAAAGACACACATACACACATGATGTATATAGGTATATATGTATTTATGTATATGCTATGTACATAATACATTTATTTACATATGTGTGTATACACACACACAAACACACACACACACACTAAGATAAGTGTAAAGGAGTTCGGCCAGCTGTATAGTTAGAAGGCGCTGTTCCCACAAAACTTCTGTCACTTCAGATATCAGTCGCAAACCACCCTCAGGTTTGATAATTTGCTGGAACAACCACAGAACTCAGGAAAGTGCTATACTTAGGCTCACAGTTTTCTCACAGTGAAAGGATACAAATTAGAACCAACCAAAGGAAGAGGTGCCCAGGGCAGAGTCCAGGCGGGGTCTAAACCTGGAGCTTCCAGTTGTCCCGTCCCTGTGGCATCACGGATGGCAGTACCTCCTGCTGGCCTCCCGGCCACCATGCGTGATGATACACAGAACATTAACAACCAGGGAAACTCGCCCGAGTCTTTGGTGTCCACAGATTTTCCTGGGGCTCAATCACATACGGCCCATGTGGCTGACCCTCAGTCTCCAGTGTGTCCTCGAGGTTTAGGCTAATGCCTTTAGTTTCTGGTTCCTGTGAGGAGGTCAGAACTCACAGTGCGTGCCCTAAATCATACTGTGAGACTATCTGTGAACCAAAGCTGTTCTCCCTTAGGCCCATTCCAGGGGCTCAAAGATGACCTCCCAGCAGCCAAGGGCAAAAGCTGACCTCTCATTATGTAAGACCAGTTCTTACTCATTAGGACTAATAAATAGTCTACATTTTTAAAAACTCCGGGGTAATATGTTTCTAACTGGGCATTAATGTTAGCAGATGCATAGAGTTGAAGGAGTTACATCATTTCTCAATATTTTATACTGAGATACCTGCTATCTGGTTCTGTGTTACAAAAAGAATATATTGGGTAGATCCTTCTGCAGTATGCAATGGATATAATAACATAGTGAACAATGTATTTTTTTAGACAGAGCAGGCAAGTGGGGGGAGGGGCAGAGGGAGAGAATCTCAAGCAGACTCCCTGCTGAGCGCAGAACCCGATGCAGGGCTCCATCTCCTGACCCTGAGATCATGACCTGAGCCAAAATCAAGAGTCGGCCACTTAACCAACTGAGCTGCCCCAGGCACCCCATGAACAATGTCTTTAACAGTAGTTTGGAAAATGGTTCTGTCAGCTATTTCTTATTTGAACCCAGTGGGAAAATTTCCATGAGGGAGGGGGGCAAGCGGGAAAGAGAATAATTTTACAAGGCCCAGGTAGACAGGTTTGTGGTGACAGCCTCCTCAGAGAGGAGGAATGGCTGGTGTCTTGTCCGTCATATCTGTCTCCCGGCCCTGCCCTGTGATAGATACTCAGTGCCTGCACTGCCTGCCTCACAAGCAGAGGGAGTTCAAGCTGTGAATATTGGTGTAATATTAACAAATATTTAAAATACGGGGTCCAGTGGATGAGGAAAGAGCATCAGAAACTAAACTGAGCAGGGGCGCCTGGGTGGCTCAGTCAGTTGAGCATCCGACTCTTGGTTTTGGCTGGAGTCATGATCTCGGGGTTATGGGATCGAGCCCAGCGTCGGGCTCTGAGTCTGCTTGAGAGATTGTCTCTCTCCCTCTCCCTCCCGCTCTGCCCCTCCCCCACTCGTTCTCTCTCTCTCTTTCTCTCAAATAAAATCGTTAAAAAAAAAATCTAAACTGAGCAAAACTGAATCCCCATCTTAGACAAAAGCACCTGCTCAGACCTTCCCTAGAACTGCCAAGAGCCACTGCGATTAACTTGCCTAGTTATCTAGTGATGATCTCATGTGGTGTTTCTCAACCATGGCTTTGTGACAGCCCTGTAACTCCGTGATCACACAAATCCACACCTCCACCACATTCTCTCCATTTTTTTTTTTAAGGGGAGAACAGGGATATATTTATCTCCATCTGTCTGACTAGTGGGTCTATTTCTTAGTTGGTTCCAAACTTGAAAGCTGAAATCCAACAGGATTGACACAATCCCCTTCACAAAAAAATGTGTTAATTGCCTTTATTTATATATAAGTATTTTTTTATTTGAAAGCCATATCTGAAAGAAGACTTCACTCAGGTATTGTATACGTGATATGAACAACAGTTCACAAGGCAATGGACCAGGTGTCCTGGGGAATTTAAAGATGAATAGGACATAGTGCCTGCCTCTAAGCAAGTGGAATATAAAAATGACAATAATGACCACTTACTGAGACTCTATTGTATGTCAAGGGCCATTCTGAACTCTTTATAGAATCTTCCCAATAGCCCCTTGTGATCGTGGGATCCACTCCATTTTATAGTTGAGGAAACTGAGGCTCAGAGAACCTAAAAAAACATAACCAAGATCACAAAATGAGTTAGATACTAAAGATACTAAAGATTCAACACCAGATGTAAATAACCCTAAGTAATGGGTATCCCAGGAGAGCTACAGAAATTACTCTGAAGCTTCAGCACAGGAGAATGCCTACCACCTCAAGGGTCCGAGGAAGGCGATAGTCCACAGCATACTGGTTCAATGTCACAGCCTAACTGCCAATCATTCTCACCCACAAGCTTATGAATTACTGGTAAGAGACTTCCCAAGTCCACACCTGCCCCCTTGAGCAGTTGGAAAGGCTAAGGGGGTCCCTAGCATCCCCAGGGCATCAGAAGAGTGTCGTCTTCCTAAATATCATTGCCCATGAAGAAGAAGCAGGACTCCTCGGAGTAAGGCTGATCCTCGGTCTGGGGCCGGAAAAGGATATTTTCTTGTTCCAGAAAGCAAGGAAACATTCAAGGACCAATGGGGTCATATCCAACAGAAACGAGCTGCTTCAAGGGGCCCTCCACTGTGCAAATGTGGGACAATGTGAGCATCACATGGGATAGTGATAGTAATGGCTCATAACAGACTTGAAGAGAAAAAAAACCCACGGGTGTACAGTGATACTGAGGGGAGGGGGATGTTTTTCTTTACAGAAAAATATCAGCTAACAAATGCAGAAGGAATGATCAAATCAGAAGGTCACTATTTTGTACTCCTAAAATAATATTTGATTCAAACAATGGTAATCATGCTAAAGCCATTGCATGAAAGGTTGTTGGGAAGCAGGATATTCACATGGTCTCGAAGTGTCAAACCCTAATTACTAATTAAAAGCAAGTCATATTTACCATGCAGTGATCTAGTGCTCCCCACTCTGACCAAGTGATCAAAGTCGGCCTCACCAATCTTGAGACAGTAGTCCTCACAAATCTCCTGGAGTGAAGCTGCAAGAAAGAGAAAGAGGTACACAGTATCACCTGTATACTAGTATTACCAAAAATGTTATACTTGAATATGACCATTAAGAAGCAATGTGACAAGTCCAGAGTATGTGACATTCTACAAGACCATTGGCCTAAGATCTCTTGTCATGAACGACAAAAACAGAGGTGGAGGGTCTGTTCTAAATTAAATGGTCTTAAAAAGCTATAAAAACCGAATGCCATGTGTGAACCTTGATTGGGCCCTGGATCCTGGGGGCAACTGCGGAAGATTGAATATGGTTGGCTGATTACACCGTGTTATGGAATTTGTGTTAGTTTTCTCAGATGTGATAATGACCTAGGAGACTGTTCTGTTTTTTTTAGAAGATGTAAAATTTGCAGATTGAAGTATGTAGATGTAACATGTCATGTCTGCATTTACCTTCAAATGGGTTCAGAATTTGCTCCCACAAATATGACAAAAGGCTAAGTTAGTGAATGTAGGTGAAGGGATCTGGGTGCTCATTGTACTATTTTTCTTTCAGTTTTATGGTACATTTGAAAATCTTCAAAGTTGGGGGGAAAGTTTACAATACATCATGCTGCCAAAGGAAAACATTTTGAAAAGTTTGCGTGAAGGAGAATGTATAGGTGTATTCTGTTGCCTTATATTAGCATCTGTCACTTCTTTCTTTCCATGCTAGTGGTTTGGATAATAAGTGTTCTGTGTATCCACTGACGTTTGACAAAAATGAAAACATGGCTGCCAAAAAGAAGTCTGTCGCTATGCACACCAACTACCTGTCAGCCTGCAGCTTCACCAACTCAGACATGCAGGTGAGGAACCGGCCGTGTGGTGGGTCAGCCTGCCGGGGAGCACGGGAAGTGACAGAGGACCAAGGAGGGGTGGCAAGGAGAGGAAGCTTTCCAGTGTCCCCTCTATTATTATTATTATCATCTTATTCAAGTATAGTTAACATAGTTCTCTGTATTAAGAGTCTCTCTTTTGGCTTGTCTTTTTTTTTTTTCCTTTGTTTTGTTTCTTAAATTCCTCATGTGAGTGAAATCGTATGGTATTTGTCTTTCTCGGACTTATTTCACTTAGCTTTATAATTTCTAGCTCCATGCATGTTTTTGCAAATGGCAAGATCTCTTTCTTTTTTATGGCTGAGTTATAGTCCACTGTGTGTGTGTGTTTATCTATATCTAAATCTGTATCTACACACCACCTCTTCGTTATCCATTCACCTATGGACGGACACCTGGGCTGCTTCCATAATTTGGCTTTGATAAATAATGTTGCATTAAACATTGGGGGGCATGCATCTTTCTTAATTAGTGGAGTAAAATAACCTAGCAGTGGAATTACTGGATCATAGGGTAGTTCTATTTTTAACTTTTTGAGGAACCTCCACACTCTTTTCTGCTGTGGCTGCACCAATTTGCAGCCTTACCAATTCACATTCCCACCAAGAGTAGGAGAGGGTCCCTTTTCTTCACATCCTGGCCAGCACTTGTTATTTCTTGTGTTTTTGATACTAGCCATTCTCACAGGTGTGAGGTGATATCTATTGTAGTTTTCATTTGCATTTCCCTGACGATGAGTAAGGTTGAGCATCTTTTCATGTGTCTTTTGGCCACCTGTATGTCTTCTTCAGAGAAATGTCTATTCAAGTCCTCTACCATTTTTAACTTGGATTATTTGCTTTTTTTGGTGTTGAGTTGTATAAGTTCTTTCTGTATTTTGGATATTAACCCCTTATCAGATATGTCATTTGCAAATATCTTCTCCCATTCAGCAGGTTATCTTTCTGTTTTGTTGATCATTTCCTTCACTGTGCAAAAGTCTTTTATTTTGGTATAATCCCAACAGTTTAATTTTGGTTTTGTTTCCCTTATCAGAAAAGACATTTAGAAAAATGTTTATATGGCCAATGTTAAAGAAATGACCGCCTATGTTTTCTTCTAGGAATTTTATGGTTTCAGTTCTCATGTTTAGGTCTTTAATCCATTTTGAGTTTACTTTTTGTGTCTGGTCTAAGAAAGCGGTCCAGTTTCATTCTTTTCCATGTAGCTGTCCAGTTTTTCCAACACCATTTGTTGAAGACACTGTCTTCTTCCCATTAGATATTCTTGCCTCCTTTCCTATCTATTAATTGACCATAAAAGCTTGGATTTATTTCTGAGCCCTCTATTCTGTTCCATTTATCTATGTGTCTCTTTTTGTACTCGTACCATAATGCTTTGATTACTACAGCTTTGTAGTATATCTTCAAGTCAGGGATTGTGATACCTTCATATTCGTTCTTCTTTCTCAAGATTGCTTTGGCTATTTGGGGTCTTTTGTGGTTCCATGCAAGTTTTAGGATTGTTCTAGTTCTGTGAAAAATGTTGGTATTTTAATAGGGTTTGTATTAAATCTGTAGAGTGCTTTGGGTAGTATGGACATTTTAACAATATTGGTTTTAGAGCATGGAATATCTTCCCATTTGTGTTGTCTTCAGTTTCTTTCATTGATGTTTTATAGTTTTCAGAGTACAGGTCTTTCACCTCCTTGGTTAAGTTTATTCCTAGGTATTTTGTTCTTTTGGGTACAATTGTAAATGGGATTATTTTCTTAATTTCTCTTTATGCTGCTTCATTATTAGTGTATAGAAATGCAACATATTTCTGTGTATTAATTTTGTATCCTGCAACTTTACAGAATTCATTTATCATTGTCATTATCATTCATTATTCATTCTAGTAGTTTCTTTGCTGGAATCTTTAGGGTTTTCTATATACTCTCATGTTATCCGTAAATAGTAACAATTTAACTTCTTCCTACCAATTTGGATGCCTTTTCTTTCTTTGTCTTGTCTGATTGCTGTGGCTAGGACTTCCAGTATTATGTTGCGTAAAAGTGGTGGGAGTAGACATCTTTGTCTTGTTCCTGATCTTAGAGGGAAAGCTCTCAGTTTGTCCCCATTGAGCATGATGTTAGCTGTGGGTTTTCATTGAAGGCCTTTATTATGTTGAGGTATGTTCTCTCTAAACCTACTTCATTGAGAGTTTTTATCATGAATAGATGTTGAATCTTGTCAAATGCTTTTTCTGCATCTACTGAGATGATCCATATGGTTTTTATCCTTTCTCTTGTTAATGTGATGTATCATGTTGATTGGTTTGTGAATATTGAACCACCCTGCATCTCTGGAATAAATCCTATTTGATCATGATTTTTTAATGTATTGTTGGATTCAGTTTGCTTAGATTTTGTTGAGGATTTTTGCATCTATGTTCATCAGAGATATTGGCCTTTAGTACTCTTTTTTTGTAGTGTCTTTGTCTGGTTTTAGTATTAGGGTAAATGTTGGTTTTGCAGAATAAATTTGGGAGCTTTCCTTTCTCTTCTATTTTTTGGAACAGTTTGATTGAATAGGTATTAGCTCTTCTTTAAATGTTTGGTAAAATAAACCTGTGAAGCCATCTGGTCCTGGACTTTTGTTTTTCAGGAGTTTTTTTGTTTTGTTTTGTTTTTTTAATTACTGATTTAATTTCATTGCTAGTAATCCATCTGTTCAGATTTTCTATTTCTACTTGATTATGTTTTGGGAGCTTATGTGTTTCTAGGAATTTATCCATTTCTTTTAGATTATCCAATTTGTTGGCATATAATTTTTCATAATATCCTTTTATAATCCTTTGTGTTTCTCTAGTGTCAGCTTTTATTTTTCTCCTTCTCCCTCCTTTCTGATATTATTTATTTGAGTTCTCTCTCTTCTTTTTTGATGAGTCTGGCTAAAGGTTTATCAATTTCGTTGATCTTTTCAAAGAACCATCTCCTGGTTTCATCAATGTGTTCTATTGTTTTTATAGTCTCTATGTCATATATTTCTTCTCTGATCTTTATTATTTTCTTCCTTCTACTGGCTTTGGCCTTTGTTCTTCTTCTAGCTCCTTTAGGTGTAAGTTTAGGTTGTTTATTCAATTCACCTATATTGCTATAATTTTCCCTCTTAAGACAGCTTTTGCTGCATCCTAATGATTTTGGACAGTTGGGTTTTTATTTTCATTTGTCTCTTTAATTTCTTAGTTGACCCATCCATGATTTATTAGCCTGTTACTTAGCCTCCATGTAGTTGTGTTCTTTCCAGATTTTTTTTGTGATTTATTGTGCTCAACTGTTGTGCTTAGAAAAGATGAATGATATTTCAATCTTTTTAAATTTATTGAGACTTGTTTTGTGGCCTAACGTGTGATCTATCTGGAGAATGTTCTTTGTGCACTTGAAAACAATGTGTATTCCACTGTTTTTGGATGGAATATTCCAAATATATGTTAGGTTCATCTGGTCCAATGTATCATTCAAAACCTCTGTCTCCTTGTTCATTTTCTGTCTGGATGATCTATCCATTGATGTAAGTGGAGTGTTAAAGTCCCATATTATTATTATATTTCTATATATTTCTACACAGTTTCTTCCCTTGTCTGTTAATAGTTGCTTTATGTATTTAGGTGCTCCTATGTTAGGTGCATAGATATTTACAATCATTCTATCTTCTTGTTGGATTTTCCCCTTTGTGATTATGTAGTGCCCTTCTTTGTCTCTTGTTATAGTCTTTGTCTTAAAGTCTGTTTTGTGCAATGTAATTATTGCTATTCTGGTGTCTTAACAGGAGAGGTATGTTCTAGCAGCTGGCTCTAAGAGGAACCTGTTGTTTTTCATTGGTTATCATTATTATTTTTAATAAATCAAAAATGGGGAAAGTCGGGGCTATTAATTAATGACAGAGCTGTATTAAACATCCTCTAACTGACTTGGTGGTCATGGGAGTGGAACAGAGAACCTTCTGAGGGGGTGGAAATTCCTATCTGGCAGTCTGAGTGGTGGTTCCAATGTGCTTACATGTGTAAAACTTTAATGAGCTGCTGAGCTTCAGAGTTGTGCATTTTATACACCTCACTGTACCTACTTTATACTTGTGTTTTAACAAATACCAAAAGAAAAAGCTTTCAATAGTAAATCTATTCCCTACTTTGAATAAACTACAAGGTGAAAACAATACAACTTCAACACTCTTAAGTTTCTTAACAAGTCATAAAAGGATCCTCAGTTTATTCATTCATATCTATTTAGCAAATCTTCACAGGTGCCCACCACCCACATTGCCACATACCACCGGTTATGGGGTGGACTCACTCACACTCAGGCTCTGTTCTCAGGACCTTCATGGAAACCATCTGTGACTGAACAGCGGGGGAAGCTGAGAGCTCAGAACGGGAGGGGTGATCGCAAACTTGCTGCAAAGGGCTGTCTGAGCCAGCCTTGGTGGGCGAGGGTGTGGCCAGGCAAGTGTGAGGGCAGCCCAGAGGGAGACAGGCAGCCTGCGAGGTGGGCAGGGCCGGATCACAGGGCCCCCTGAGTCTGGCCTGACGCTACAGATGGGCAAGGAGCCATGCAGATGCCAGGTCAGATTTGGGTTTCTTTTAAGGAGGAGAGCATCTGGGTCAGATTAAAGCTTTCCATGGCCCACTCTGGTTTCAGCTGACTGGGGTCAGAAGGGGAGGCAAGGCTGGCGGCAGGGAGACCAGGTGACTGGGTAACTGTTTAATTGCTGAGCAGAGGGGTGTTCAGACTTGGAGTGCAGTGTTTGCCCCTGTCGTTTGCGACCAGGATTCTCACAGACCTGTACAGTAGGGGGCGCTGTGGCCCGGGGGCCGGCTGGCAGAAGACTGGTGTTAAACCTACAAATTCCCTACTTCCAAAAGAAATGACTGACAGTGAGTTAGAGGCTCTGTTTCATGCATTTATCGTGATGAGTGTTTGGTTTTTAAATTCAATTTTTACTTATAATGAAGATCACAAAATTATTAAAAGTATTTTTCTAAAATATTTTTTACTATTAAAAATTTACTTGTAACTTTTAAAAAACTATCTCTTTGGTTGAAGAATATGGTATGGAAAATTCGCAAATTAAAGAGCTAGACTGAGATAATTGTTTAAAGCAGATTGGGTGTCCCAAAAAAGATGGGAGATTATTGGCCCTTTGCAAGTGTTAGGACAGGAATGGGTGTGGGCCAGGAGACATTGAACAGAATTACAGCATATTATAAAATATAAGTACCCAAATTAAGACCCAGTCCAAGACTTGTGCATTCATAAGCTAACTTTTACCAGCCTAGGTCATCTTGTTGGGTGTACCAGGCCACTTGAAGGAAGCCAAGGATGCAGGGAGTCCCACAAACAGAGGCAGAAGCTTTGCAGCCTTGGAGATTCCCCACATTTGAGAGCTGCCTCTGAGGGGGAGCTTTGAGGTGGGCCTTGGGGGCCACACCCAAGAAGCCTAAGCTCTCTGGAACTCACCCAGCTCTTGCTCCAAGGGGGAGCTCCAAAGCGGCTTCTCCTGGCTGCAAGAAGAGTCTGGGTCTCCCCAGACTGCCTGGCAGGAAACGCACTCCAAGATGGGGCAGCCAGCCGGGCACCAGGCCAGGGTGGGAGTAGAGTCCCCTCCTTGTTATGTGTATCTCTCCTGCAGAGAAAAGGAGATTCTTTGCGAGTGCTAGGCCCAGCATGTAAGAGAGAAGGGAAGAGAACAGGAAAGAGGAGAGGAGAAGAGAAAACCCACAGCAGGAGGAATTTGGAGGCGCAGGGCGGTCGGTGGGGCACGGGAGGCTAACAGTCCTTAATGCTGCCGCTCATTTCCTTTCCTCAGTAAGCTCCACCCACCGAGGGCCTTCTATGTGGCAGTGACACTGCAAGAGCCACTTCCTGCACTGTCTTATCACCTCATCCAGGCCCTGTGAGCAGCAGGAAGGTGGGGTGCAGGGAGGCTGTGCCATCCAGGGCTTAGCCATTGTGGATCCCCCAGCCCATGGCTGCCCAGGACAGGCTGTCAGCTGGGCCCCAGAGGCCATGAGCCCTGCATCTCCGCTGCCTTTCTCCCAGCCCCACGAAGCTCTGCTCAGCCTGAGCCCAAGCCGTGGGCACGTGCGCGCGCACACATACGCACACGCACACACACACACCCCCACAGTCTCGGGCTGTGACCCTAAGTCCACCCAGGCACCGCAGCGTTCCTCTCACCTCTTTGTACTTGTAAGTTTACAGAAGCGGCTTGAGAGGTGATTGCAAGGACCTTAGACACAGTTTCCTAAAATCTGCCTTTGATCTTACCATCTCGCTTGGAAGCTTACCACAGCTCCGTCTTGCCTACAGGCTGAAGTCCTCACACTCTCATTTTGTGCAGAGGTAGGCCTTCACCTGGCCAGCTCTCACGCATCCTTGGAGCAACTCAGATGTTGCCAGAATGGGTTTGCTGTCTGTCCCTTGGGCCTGCTTGGATCTAAGCACTTCTCACTCTATCATGAGTCATCACTGTCTTGTCTGCCTAGATCCTCGGAAAAACTTGCTCTCCAGAAGTGCCAACCTTCTTAGACCTCCTGTGGCAAGGGAGAACCCCAACTCGGCAGACTCTCCATAACATCTCAAAATGAGAAAATCAGGGAAGCGTACTTGGAGGACTTGGGGGGCCAAGCTGGGTGATTTTAAGGTGGGTCTCTCAAGGCAGGAAACTGGCTACGACATTACTAGCTTTGGATTGGTGAGCCCCGCAAGGTAAGGGTCTTGCCGTGAGTCTGAGTGAGCAAGCCGTTAGTCTTAGTGAGTAAGTTGTTTAGTTGGTTCAGTCTTACCTTGCAGGAGCAGGTATGTCCTGCAGCAGGCCGCTAGATTGTTTTCACTTGGTCTCGGTATTGCCTCACAGAGCTCCAGGAAAGTGTGCCTGGGCTCGGAATTGTTTAACACAGGGGCAGGGAATTCGGTTGGTGTCGGGTCTTACTGCCGGTTCTGTTCAACGGCCCTCCGGGAGAGCAGGACCGAGACACAATCTCTGTTCGAACCCTAATTAATGCCTATTAGCAGAGCACCTGGATGTCGTCAGCACCCAGCAGGTACTTGCTGAATCTGTGAGGGCTTGCGTGTGGCCCTCTCGGGGGCCCTAGGACCGTCTAGCGCCCTGTCCCGCTCTGGGGGGAAGCAGCCACGGGGGCATGTGTCTGACAGGGCGCACTGCTCAGCGCTGCTACCAGCTGAGGGTTTATGAGAATGCTGGGGCCTCGGGCCCCTACCCCAGATGCAATATTAGCAAGCAGCCCGGTGGCTGGGGAGCACGTTAAGATCTGAGAAGCACTCAAAATGTTTGGCCTGCTCGTGGGGGCCGCGCAAGTTCTGTTCCACAAACGTTCACGGAGCACTTCCTCTGGGACGCCCGGCAAGCACAGAGCTCTGCAGATAAAGCACGGAGGCCTGCTCCATTTCCTGCTCCGGAGGGGGACAGGCACATAAACCCGCATCGCAAGGACAGTGAGGGTGTCGCAAAGGAACTTTTCTTCTTAGTACAGGGGAAATACTCCAGTGCTTGAATCCAGATATAGCGAGGCACGAGTCTGTGTGTGTGTGTTCCAAGAGCTCACACGTTCAGCTCTAAGCATCAGAGTGACTTTCCCCCAACAGAGGTCATAACGACAATGCTTTTGCTGCCCTTCTCTGTGGACAGATCCTGACAGCGAGCGGCGACGGGACATGTGCCCTGTGGGACGTGGAGAGCGGGCAGCTGCTGCAGAGCTTCCACGGGCACGGGGCTGATGTGCTCTGCCTGGACCTGGCCCCCTCGGAGACGGGCAACACCTTCGTGTCTGGGGTAAAGACCCAAGCAAAATCCCTAGGGGTCCTTCGTCTCTGTGGGAGAATTATGTTGGCAATTCTTGTCATTTTCAGGGAGTAGATCAGACATTTCTCGAGAAGGAATTGTCCTCAGCTCACTGTCACACCCCCGGCTCCCACAGCAGTGGCAGTGCGGGGTGGGTCGCGAGGGTCTCCTGTTCTGCTGCTGACATTCAGTCTGTAGAGGTGTCTGGAATGTTCTCCTCATGTGAATGCTGTGACCTGAGGTGCATATCTGCCACATTTGAAAATGTTATTCCTCAAATAAACAGCAGAGTTAGCATCTGAGAGCACTGGAGATGAGCCATAAGGTACCAAGCCGGTCAGATGGCTGCTGAGGTGAGGCGGCGTGGTGTGATCAGGGCTTGGGGCTTGTGAGCACTCTCCTGCCCCACCCCTGCCAGTCGCCATCACCCTCCCACCCCAGGGCACAGGGAACAGAGCATTTGAAGGCTCAGGGTCAGGCACACAAGGCCACGGTGGCACAGAGGAGCTCTCGGCTAGGATGCCGGGGTCCCGGCTTTGCTATTTGACTAAATTTCCTTGTCTGTAAATTGGGCATAATGCAAACCACTCCCCCAGGATATGACATGGAATATATTAGGTGGAAGAGTTGACAATGGGTTATGCAGATGTCAGGGGTGAGTATTTCTGTGGACAGCCAGGAATAAAAATGGGGAACTAAGCAGGGTGACCTGGCTCAGGTCCTGTCTCGCTTTAGTCAGGAGAGAGGTGGGAGAGGACGTGCTGGACGCACCATCGCATGGCATCTGCAGCTGGAGGACGTAAGGAACCTTTGCTCTGAGCTGCCTGCGTCTTGGTGCTGGGCATGAGGCGAGGGCTGTGTGGCCTGTAATCGGCAAGAACCCCATTTTCTTCTTGGGTGTTTGGCCCCGTCTGTGTATGTTTCATTTCTGTGCCTTTGAATAACTGTATTTGTCCCTCCTCAACTACACTGTCTTTTCAAATTGTTGATATCATTGTAGGTTATATTGTCTCTTTCAGAGCACTAAACTCCATTTGATTTAGTGTCCTCAAAAGATTTGAAGACACTCCCGATTGCTTTGTCCACATTGTCATGAAAGATAACCAGAGTGCTGAACCCCCACAGTTCTGAGATATCAGTTATGGTATTCACCCCACTCTTTTCCCTGAAGTTCAAACCAGCAACTTGAACACCGATTTTAAGCCATTATGTCTTCTATTTGACTATTGAGAGTCCACATTATACTACCCAAGCTTGATAATAGCAGTGCTCTGCAGAAATGTGTCAAATGCTCCTAGAACCAGGATAGCATAATGTGAAAACCTCATGTTTATGACTCTGGGTCACGTTGACAACCCAGAGAGAGGGTTTATGGGTAGTGAGGCAGAAGCCCAGGACGGTGACTTGCTAGAGACCCGCAGCTAAGTGCTGGCGAGGTCATGACTCCCAGCCGGCATGCTGCAGAGGTGCAGATGGCCCAGTGGCACCCGGTGCTCTCCCTTCGCTCACGCTGTCCTGTACACCTGAGACAAAGCGGGGTGGGCTCACCGTGCACCCACTCTATGCCTGCCCTTCCCTCCCGGGCTTAGGGAGGCAGAGATGAAGAGGAGGGAGGAAGGGAAGGACAGAAAAGAGAGAAATGCCCAGGGGGAAATCGAGGAGGCTCTGGAGGGTTTGCACCCACACTTGGAAAGGTGCAAAAGAAGAAGACATGCTGAAGGGGAAAGCTGGGTGCCTTCCCTTGCTCCCCTACACCCCAAGACATAGTCTCACCTCCTCAGGGCTTACTGGTTGAGGAAAGCAGCCTTAGGTGAGGCTAGTCTCAGAAAAGCATGTTGTCAGCCATTTACCAATAGGAAGTAAACGGCTCTGTTACATAATGAGAACTCTTGCCTGACTGTAGACAGGCCTTGCAGTGGCCATAACTCTGGGTAACTTTGCAATTGTAGGGATGTGACAAGAAAGCCATGGTGTGGGACATGCGCTCCGGCCAGTGCGTGCAGGCCTTTGAAACACACGAATCTGACATCAACAGTGTCCGGTCAGTGAGTAGAATGTTCATGTAACTTCTCTGTTCTGCTGGTGATCCCTGGTGTGGGGTAATGCTCAGGCCAGGAACCACCTCCAGGCTCATTTTACTTGGCTGAAAGAGGTCTCCCCAGCAAGAAAGGCTGATTTGTGGTGGCACTGAACAGCACCCCAGATCTCTTGGAGATATTTAATTTAATGGCACTCGGAGTAATTGTTATTATCCTCCCTAAATAGAGTCAGTATTTCTCATTCATTTATTCAGCAAATATTTATTGAGACTTATATGCTAGACATTGTTCCAGGAACTTGTGAACAAGATAGACAAGGTCTCTACTTTCTTGCAGGAGATAAGACAAAGCACAAATGAGTAAATGTACAATTTAATTTAAGATGGTGATAAGTGCTATGTGCAAAGTAAAACAGGCAGATGGGATGGGATGGGTTATTGCTTAGGATGGTCAGGGAAGGCCTCTCTGAGAAAGCAATGTTTCAAAGAGCCAGGCTTGCAGAGAGCTGGGTTAAGACGAGATGTGGAGGGACCTAACCAAAGGCCAGTTTGCGGGGTGGCTGACATGGTCTCTGTTTTGCCTTTGAGAGGTCACTCTGGCTGTTGTTTGGAGAAGAGATTGTAGGGAAGCAAGAATGGAAGTGTGATGGCCAATTAGAAAGTTGTGTGAGTTCAAGAAAGAGGTGACAGTGGCTGGAACTAAGGAAGACATTGTAGAGACAGAAATGTTCAGAATTGTGCTGATTCTGAGATTTTACCCTAGCTACACGATATCAAGCTAGGCTGCCACAGTTTCATGGATGCTGGTAGAAGACACGAGACTCCTGGGTTCGAGATGAAGGACAGTTTATTACTTCTAGCAATGGCACTAGCCAGGGTATCAGCATTTTTGTGCTGGTTACCTGAGCCCCAGTCCCACAGGGTGAAATGGAGAGGGCCCAAGACACCTGCACAGGCCAGGGATTGCATTACAGGAGAAGAACCCTGAGCTTGGGAACCCAAACCTTTTATAAGGGGCATGAGCAGTGGTCCATTTACTAAGACAGGGAAGACTGGAGGAAGTACGGGTAGGAAGCAGTCGTCACACATGGATTCCGGAGCTCTGTTTTGGGATAGTTACGTTTGAGATGCCTATTATACACCCAAGTGGAGACGTTGAGTAGGTAGCAGGATCTATGAACTGGTTCCCGAGAGGCGAGGACTTGACACGTAAATTTGGAAGATGGCCCTGTGAAGACTCTTCCTTCTAAGAATCCTCATTATACTTAATGGAAAAGACACTAGACTTGTTCCCCTTAAAAGGAAGAACAAGATAACAGTGCTTATTTATGTTAGCAATAGAAATGTTAGTAAGAATTTCTAGGTCCTTGCCCTCAATTGTAGGATAGAGAAAAAGGGAAAAGGCTATTGCTTTTGGCAAATGTGCTGTGATTACCTAGAAAATCAAAGGAAATTAATACAGATAGTGAAGTTGGTAAGATGCAGGATAGAATATAAAGCCACAAAGATAAATTAAACCCCTATATATCTTTAAAATGCACATTCTCTCACCCGTGCTGCTCCCCCTACCCTGACCCCTCTTCCTCTAACATCCATTAGGTCTCAGTGTAGACACCCCTCTCCCCAGGAAGCCTAATTACCGAGAAGAGAATGGACATAACAGTAATAAGCATCATTTATTGAATGCTTTTCACTTGGCACTGTGCCAAGTTCTTTGCCTATATTCAGTCCTTACAACAGGAAAATACATTATCATCCTCACTTTTCAAATGAGGAAACTGAGGCTGGGCAAGGTAAAGTCCCTTGCCAGAGGTATCCCAGGGAGGCAATGGTCAGTGCGGAGATCCGCACGAGGCTTTGTATGTGCCATTCCAGTGTCTGCAGATAATCACTTTCTTACCCTGGAGCTGAGCCAAGTCCCAGGAATGAGGTGTGTGATCAGTGGAAACCACGGTTACAGGCAGCCTGCTCTGTGTTCAGTGCCTGGTGCGAATACACACGTTATCACCAACACTCTGCAAGGCCATTGTTACTGTCCCCTACTTACAGGGAAAAAAAACTAGAGGCCAGTGGGCCAGGCAGATGAGCCTCCCCTTCTGGCCTCTATAAAGAGTGGTCCTTATGTCCCCAGCAGTGGAGATTCTGATTCTGATTCCACGGGCCCAGATGGGACAACTTTCCCAGGTGATTTCCAGATGATTCTGACGGGCATCCAGGATTGAGAATCACCACTCTGAATAAATGCTTTCTATCCAAACTTTCTCTCTGCAGGTACTACCCGAGTGGAGATGCCTTTGCTTCAGGATCAGATGATGCTACGGTATGTTTCTAAGTTATGAGAGCTTTTCCTATTTGAAAGAGAGATACAGTGATTTATTTTTCAAAATTAATGTTTTTTCTGATTACCTTAGTAAAGTGAATTCATTGAGGAAACCTTGGGAAGGGGGTTAAAATATCTTATTCTCCCAACCCAAGTCACAGTTGGGTGAATTCCTTTCTGTCTTTTTTATTTTAAAACAAAATGCTTTATAATTTGCTTTTTTCACTTAGCAATAGATTGTGAACATTTCCCATGCCAGTGGAGCCAATCTACATTATATTTTCTTAGTAATTGAATAGTATTCCATGTTATGGACATGCCATTCTGTACTTGACTAGTCAATTTTTGGACATTTAGGTTCAAGGTTTTGTTTTCCTGTTAAGAAATACTACTATAAGTAAATATTTTTGGTACATATTATTTCTCCCATATCTCATCTGCCCTATATGTTCCTTTTCCTATACCTCCCCAGGCAGCCTGGGGAAAGTGGTTGGTTCAGGGTTTGCCAGAGGGAAGACAAATACCAAATAATAAGATCTTTTTAAAAAATGAAAATGTAAAACTTCCATGTGCCAAAAAATGTATAACAAAATACAAGGGCATACATCTATGAAAAGTTCTTGCCATCTATATGACAGACCAAATTGAAATCCTTTAGATATGAATGGGGTTGCATCATCAATAAGATAAACACCCCAATTTTTGAAGAGTTTGATAAAATGTAGACTGTTTACAAAGTAGGAAATCCAAAATGGCAAATAAACACCTAAAAACATTTTCAGACTACCTGTAACCCAATAAATGCAAGCTTAAGTGATCAGAGCTCATTTGGATTAGCAATGAAATGCTACATTGTGGACGTAATAGGGTTAAAGAGCCTAGATTTAGGCCCGTTGGTTCCACGCTTCTGGAAAACAGTCTTGCCATATAAGCCAAGAGCTTTTGAAATATCCCTCCCCTTTGATCCGGTCATACTATTTCTTGAAACAATTTTATTCTGAGGATTCTGTTCCTTAACTATTCTAAGGAAAACATCAGAGATATGTATAAGGATTTTTATGTAAGAATGGTCATCAAAATTTCATTTATAAAGGAGAAAAATTAGACACAATCAAAATTCTTAACAGGGTATGGCTAAACAGATTTAATATACCCACATAAGGAATATTCAACAACCATGTTAGTCATGTGTTTTTGATGATTATTTAATGATACGAGAAAAATGCTCATAACCTGATGTTAATAGAAGTCATCATGAAATATCCACTCCACTCCATTTAAAGACCCACATAAAACGGAAATAAGAATGAAGGAAGTAGCCTAGATGTTAGTAAATACCTCTAGGATTTGGGGTGATTTTCGTTTCCTTCTTTAGGAGTTTTTCTGTATTTTCTACAATGAATATCCTTTATCAGAAAAAAAGAGGGGTTTCATTTTTGTTTTTGTACGCCTCCCCCAAAATCTTCTGTATTTGCTGTTTCCTTGAATCTCCACTGATCCCTGCAGATTAATAGGAATTGGGATTAAGGTAGAAAATGCTAGGGGAGAAAACTAGAGGTATTTCCCTCATCCCCCAAACTACACAAGCCAGCAGTGCCTGCTGATAGCCCTGTGGTCCTCTCTTCCCCACCCGGAGCCAGAAATAAGTGCTTCTTTGTCTTCTTTGTCACGTTTGTCACCCCAGTGTCGCCTCTACGACCTCCGGGCAGACAGGGAGGTCGCCATCTATTCCAAAGAGAGTATCATATTTGGAGCATCCAGTGTGGACTTCTCCCTCAGTGGTAAGATTTTCTTTCAGAAACTTTCTGGGGACTGTAAGTCGGGAGCTAAAGGCAACCCCGCTCTCGATCCAGCTTTCCCTCAGCTGAACTTCCGGTGAGCCAGTGGGTTAAGCAGTCTGCATTTGCCCCGGTTTTCCTCCACGACGCCCCACCCCACTTCACCCCACCCGAAGCAGCCTCCCCACCCCCTTCCTTTTACGGGAAATGAAGGCTGTGCCGCTCTTCTTCAAGACAGCGATGCATGCGGCTTCCCATCTGCAGTGCCCTTCATGAGGCGTTTCCTCCTCAGCCTGCCAGTCTCCCCTTCATCCCTGAAAAGGGACACCCTTATTCCATGTGCTACCATGTGTTCATTCACGTGTCTGCCTGCCTGCCCACCAGCACCCTCCACAAGGGGCAGTAACGCTGCTCTCTGAACCCCCAGGGCAAAGCACAGTGCCTGGCACATAGTGGCCCTAAATCACTGTGGAATGAATGAATGAGCAAGCGACTGCATGACTGTGTGAGTGAGTCATGAAAAGAAAAACACTAACCATCATATCCTCCTGCTTTGAGGGCGCCTGCTCTTCGCTGGTTACAATGATTATACCATCAATGTCTGGGATGTTCTGAAGGGGTCCCGAGTCTCCATCCTGTTTGGACATGAAAACCGTGTTAGTACTCTCCGAGTTTCCCCTGATGGAACTGCTTTTTGCTCAGGATCATGGGATCATACCCTGAGAGTAAGAGAGAAGTTCTTTTATTTTACTGTGTGTGTGAGAGGAGTGGTTGGCCCTCTTTAAAGCAGAGGCTCAGAATAAGCCTGGGTGATGTTCGCCAGACACAGCTCTAATTTCAGCTCTGTCCATGGCCACAGAAGGATTGCGTTGCCCCGGAGAGGTCGTGAGTCCCCCATCAATGCAGGTGCTGGAGCATAGTTTAAACAGCTGTGTATCAGCGTGTAATTGAGGGAAGAACGGAGCCAGGTGATCCACACAGTCCATTTTGATCCTGAAAGTAGGGTTCTTCTGATTCTAGCCTTTGGCAAACCACAGGTGCCAGGCTCCCCTCCCAGTAGTGGGGCATTCACACGCCTTTGTGAGACCCACAGAGAGGTTTTAGGGAACCCGTGAAGCCCCTGAAATTAAAGGTCACATTTCATGTGTCCATTTTTCCGGGGAAAGTGTCCTCATGGCTTTCATCAGATTCTCAAAGAGCTCAACGACCTTGCTGTATGTTGGCTCACCAGAAATACCTCCAAAATAGCCTGTTCATAAAGCAAAGCTAAGTGTATTTCCTACCTCAGTGGGGACGGAGCACAAACTTGACAGTCTTCATGGCAACTCAGAAGGGGAGAACAAAGATATTTATACGGTGTGGGGAGGGGGTTCTGGTTTAAGGCCAGATGGAGGGATTTAATTAGGATTAGACAAATTTGTGGCACAATAGTTTTAAGATTGCTGGACACATAGTTGGGGGAGGGAGAGGATTTTGAAGACAGTCTTGAAAAGTAACCATCATTTGTGATGCTCTGTGTAGGCCTGAGAAGTGAGTATCTTTTCTAAAGAGAGTAGTTGAGTGGTCTACTCTTAGGATAAATCAAGGATTTTTGGAAGTTCCTGAAACAACAAAGTTATCTGTGAGTTCATCTTCCGGGGCAAGAGTTTCCTAAATCAATAAAGTCACATTAATGCACCCAGGAGGGTGTGTGGGTACAGATGGCACTCAGCCTAAGCATTACCAGCCCCTAGTAAGAAGGCCACAGATGCCCTGCGGATGATTGAGCAGAGCTAGGGGAAGAGACAGGTCCCAAGAAGCACTTTTGAGTTGCCAGGAGTTAGGTGTTACCATCCAAGACCTGTGCGTGCTTCATTTTGGATGGTGTGTGTGTGTAACTGACCTGCTTTTATCTCTTTAAACTCAAGTTTCACAAGTCATTAACTACTCGGGGACTAACAATTATCTGTTTGTGGCTTTGCAGGTCTGGGCTTAATCATCTCCTGATGATGCACACATGGGCACCTGAGGGTAGAATTTGAAACCGTCATATGTAAATAGATCTTTTGTCTAGAGGATCTGAGGGTTATTGCAACGTAGCTTAAAGGAGTGACTCCTCGGCTGCAAGTTCACTCAGCGTCCCCGATATTACTATTAAAATGACCACCCCTGGAAAGACCCCAGTGTGGGCCTTCACCACTAGAACACCTTCAAGTACAGTGTTTTGCATTTTGAATACTTTTTAAAAATGTATCCATTTTAAAGATTATTCTAATTATACCGTGTCCACATATTCTATTACCAATAGGATTCAGCATTTAATAAATCCCCTAGTACTTCCTTAAATCAAATTTGTTTTCAGAGCACTTTAAAATCTGATTCTTCTCAGTGTGCACTGTGTCTTGTGGAACTTTCCTCTAGAAGTGCTGACTTAACGGCGGGCTGCACGAGGCCGGCCACGTTGATTGGTCTGTGATAGAAGAAAATTCCAATTCCAAACGCAATTGGACAAAATCCCTTTTTAAAAAAATGTTTTTATTGTAAAAGTTTCTTTTTCAGTCTCGCATTGTCTTTTTTCAGATCAAACATTTCCCTCTGTGTGAACTGTCATCAATGGAAGAAAGATGTGCATAAAGTGGACAGGATGTTTGATTTATGAATTCTGTGATGATGTGATGGATCCCTTGGACAGGGTATTTCCTGTCATTTGAGGGAAAAGCTGAATGCTGTTTGTGACACAAAGGCTTCTCAGAGCAACCAAAACCTTTCTGTGTGGGAACACAAGACAGTAAACTTACTTAAAAACCTACTAGTAGTATTAGATGTATTAGAATTAGTAGTATCCACTCAGGATACTAAAAGTATCATAGTAGATCATATCCATATGAAGTATATTCATATTTATTGCATTGAAAATGTAATTACATACACAAATTAGTTGATAGGTCCCAAGTGATAATGTCTTTGCCTCTCTTATATTGAGAAAAAAATAACACACAAAATACTTGTCTTTGAAATTCAGCATTTCCTTCTGGAAGACACCCAAGTGTTTTTGTTGTAAGATCTCTTCTTTTCCTTGTTTTTAAGGTGTTGAGGCTTATTCTTTGTTTTTTAAAATTCCTTGTTCATTAAGATGGCATGCATTACTTAGAGAAATAGAAGGTCACCTCACACACCAAAAATCATTCCCGGTTGAGGCCTGCCCTGTGAGTGGTCTGGGGTCCCATGGTGCCCGAGTGCCCTGGATTGTCCCGTCTCCTCTCTGGGCCCTGCTCCAGCCTGACCCCTCTCCTAGTCGTGGTTCTGGCCCTGTGGGCCCAGCCCCGGGCCCTGCTGCTCAGAGAGGCCCTCCAGAGCTGCAGCAGGGCAGGTCTAGACGTGACTGGCCTCCTGCAAACATCAGGACGTGTGCCAGGCCCACCCTCAGAACGATTTGTATCCTAATGTGCCAGTCAATCCAAAACAAGCCAGGCTAGCTTTTCCATCAATTCTTTTAAAGTAAATATGGTGGTTAGATTCAGTCATTTGCCAAGCAAACATTTTACTGAGGGTTTTACTACACAGCACACCCTGTAGGGGGTAGAGAGAGAAATGGAAAAGGCCCCTGCTGGACTCCAAGGAGCCCAGTGGATTCCAGGCTGGCAGGGGCGCAGGGAAATGGGCACAGCTGCTGAAGGAGTCAGGCCCCTGAGTGCGACTCACGGGATTCCCCAGCTCCACGCCCAGCATGTCCCAGAGCTGCTCCTGGTCTCCTCCTTATGGTATCCCCTTGCTTCTCTCCTACAGACCCTTTAGTGTCTCTGCCCTCTGACCTGGACCTCCCAGAAGTGAAGGAAGACAGGACAAAGGAAAAGCCACCTAGACTGAAGGGAAGCAAATTCAAGGTTAGATATCTGGAGAGGCAGAGAGCATCTTCAGTATATGTGCAAAAACGGTCCATAACTCTCCAATCAAAACAAAAAACCCGGCAAGTATTCCCTAGAACACTCACTTACCCCCACTGGCAGAAAGCCCCCCCCGGAAGTATTTGATTTCATAGTGGGTGTTGTTTAGTATTTATCGATGTAACACTTGGTTTGGAATATGCTACACCATGTCGGGACTCCAAGGGTAACTCCAGGTAATAAATTGTATTTTGCATATTGAAAATAACGCTGAGTGGAGTTTTGTAATCAGTTTTTCTTAGAGGCCTTGGGGGCAAACCTACCAAACCAATTGTGGTGAAGGGTCCACACGGACGCACCCTCAGGTGTGCACAGTCCGAGAAGAGAAGGGGGGGTCAGGTAAGGAGGGCTGCCGTGATGGGCATTTACGGGAAATACCTGTGAGCCGAAGTCAAGGCAGCTGCTTTGGAGTGGGCAGCCTCGCAGGAGTGGGGCCCAGCTGCCAGCCCTAAACTGGAATGAGCCAGAGGCAGGCACTCCATATCCACTTCCCTTTCCCACCCCTTGACCTCCTCTACATATCCCGAGATTGTAAACAGCTTCAAGGCAGCGAAAGGTCATAAAGGTGTTTGTATCCCGGACTCTCATGGCTTCTTGGCCAGCCAGCGAGCAGGTGGCACCACTGATTACCAGGACGCGGCTGTAAGTTAGAGGGGGACAGCATGGTGACAAACAACGTGCACCTAGGTTCAGACCCAGCTGTGCCACCTGCAGCATGCATGATATCTGACTCTCAGCCTCCGTTCCCTCGCGTGTGGAGGGACAGCACTGAAATACGTGAAGACTTTGGCTCATCTCAACAAGGGTTAGCTCCCTGCTTCCTCCACCCGTCCACCATCGCTCCCCATCCTAGTCCCTCCTCCCCCCTTCTCTCTCCCATCCCTACCCCCCATCTTCTCCCATCCTCCCTGTTCCCCTTCCCTTGCTCTTTCTTCCCCGCAGCCCTCCTCCCAATGCCTCCCCCTCCTCAAGCAGCCCCCACTCATGTATCCAATTAGTCATTATCATCAGTTAGAGATTCCTCTGGGCCAGTGGTTCTCAAGGTGTTCGGTCTTAATGATCCCTCTACGCTCTTAAAAATTCTTGAGCTTTTTGGTTATGTGGGTTATATCTATCAATATTTTTATTAGAAATTAAAGCTGAGGAAAATTGTAAAACACAAGAATACAGAAGCACACATCCCGTTGGTAATGCTTTCCCCACATATCAGGAGCCTCTGGATAACTCCCCAGAGAATGAGAGTCTTAAAAGACACACATACAAAGAAAGATTCAGTATTATTATGTATTTAAAATAGTTTTGATCTTGGGCGACTCCCAAGATCTAAGGACTCTACTTTGAAAACAGTTGATGGGCTAATAAGCCCTTCTCGAGCCCACTGTGTGAGAACTCGCTGAGGGCATTAAGGCCCTTACAGGAGCTTGGAAAAAAGGTGGGGTGGGGATGAGGGTCACTGAGGAGAGGGGCTGGAGGAAAGGCCCTCAGAGGAGGTTCCAAGGAGGCACAGAGAGGCAGTGGGAAAGGCTAGAGACCAACTGGGACCTGTGCACTGCTGAAAAGCTTTTCAGAGGAAGGCACTTGGGATCCGGGGTTAAGCCCAGCAGATAGGTTAGATTAACTGGGGTTGGAGTTGGAGCCCTATTGCTGCCAGCTAGCTTCCTCCCAAGCCCTGGAGAGCTGGTTGAGCAGGGATTTGTAGATCTGCATCTCCCAAACTTGCCTGCTGAGAAAACCACTCAGGTCAACAGCTGGTTAAAAATACAGGCCCTGGGGGCACCTGGGTGGCTCAGTCGGTTAAGCGTCTGATGCTTGGTTTCAGCTCAGGTCGTGATCTCAGGGTCCTGGGATTGAGCTCCTGGCATTGCGTCAGGCTTCCTGCTCAGCAGGGAATCTGCTTGTCTCCCTCTCTCTGCCCCTCCCCCGGCTCGTTCTCTCTCTCTCTAATAATCTTTCAAAAAAAAAAAAAAGTACAGGTCCTAAAAATACAGATACAGTTCCTGGAGATGTGGACTGGGCCGAACTGAGGTGGGCCAGGAATTCTGAGGAGACAAGTTGGGGGAAAGCGCTCAGTGAATCTTTTTGTCTGTCTGGATCCTCTGCAAGAACATGAGGCTAAACCACTCGCCCTCTCACCTGTGATAGGAGAGAATCGCATCACTCTTCAAGGCATAGCACAGACCCCTCGTTCTCTAGATGAGAGGTGGCTGGAGCTAGGCTGGCCTTCAGGACTGGTCCATCTCTACAGTGGGCTGACTCATGGCCATTTCTGGTGAAAGAAATGAAATGAGTATGCTTATGTCCTTGTAAAAAAGATGCTGACCCTCTAGTGAGGAAATGGGATCAGGAATGATGCTCTGGCTAATTGAACCACATAAATAGCTAAATGGAAGTATGGTATGAGCATTTACACAAAGATTGTGACAACAGAAATTGCCTCTTTTGAACCTAAGCTTATCTAACCAATACATCACTGGTGAACACTTGCCCTTATTGTAAACCAGGAACCATAAAGCAGAGGTCAGCCTATCTGTGCTCCCCAATAATAGGTGGCTTCACACCCCTCGGTCTGTAACCCAAGAAAAATGAAAACATGCCCACACAGAAACTTGAACACAAATGTGCATAGCTGCCCAAAGTGGAACATCTCAAATGTTCAACAACTGCTGAACAGATGAACAAATTGTGGTAGAGCCATACAATGCGATATCATTTGGCAATAAAAAAAGGAAGTAAGGAAGTACTGATTCATGCCGCAACATGGATGAACCTTGAAAAAATTGTGCTGAGTGAAAAAAGCCAGACACAAAGGACTACACAGTGTATGATTCCGTTTATATGAAGTATTCAGACTAGGCAAATCCACAGAGACAGAAAGGAGTTGGTGGTTACTTGGGGCTTGGGGTGGGATGAACAGGGAGGGACTGCCAATGGGTATAGGATTTCCTTTGAGGTCATGGAATTAGATAGTGGTGATGGCTGCACATTTATTTGTCACAATAGAGCTGCTAAATATATATATATGGAAAAATAGTAGATAGTCTATAGGTATTTTCAGTATTTAAAAAACAAAACAAAGAAACCAGATAGGTAAGGCTCACCAAAATGTTACATTTTTCTTTTCTTTTTTTTTTTAAAGATTTTATTTATCCATTTGAGACAGAGAGATACAGAGAGAGAGCATAGCAGGGGGAGAGGCAGAGGGAGAGGGAGAAGCAGACTCCCTGCTGAGCTGGGAGCGGGGCTCGATCCCAGGACCTGGAGATCATGACCTGAGCCGAAGGCCGATGCTTAACCATCTGAGCCACCTAAGCACCCCTATGTTTTGACTTTCGGTTAAAAGTGGCACAAGTGAGCATAGTAACCCTGGTTAGTTCATACTTATAATAAAAATTTCTCTGTAAAGAACTTTTCCCATGTGCCAAGCACTGTGCTAAGCACCTTGCCTACACCAAGTAACATAATCCTTGTAACAGTGGGATGGTGCAGTTTATTACCTCCATTTTTTAGGTAGGGAAATTGAGGCTAGGAGAGTTGAACAACTTGCTCATGGTTGCACAGCTTCTAAGTGGCAGAGCCAGGATTTTAACCAAGTCTGACAGCAAACCGCCTCCTTGCATCATGTGGATCAGAAATTCTGTGTAGAGGTTAATTTGTTCACTTGCTGTTTGGTTCAACTGATAATTATGAGGAGTTAGCCAATGTCAGGGCCGGAGGATTTACCACTCACCACCAAACTACTCCAAATCTAAGAAAAAACTGTGCTTGTGGCTAAAATGTAGTGTTCAAAAAGGAAATCATTACTCTCTGACAAAATATGAACATATATCAAAACATTGACCTCCACAAGGGAACCCATAAGATGTCAAAAACAGTTCAGACGGGAGCTCAATACACAGAGATTTATACTCCCTTCTGATGAAATTCATTTGGCTCACTATAAACGAATCACTGATGTTGGTAGACCAGGCACCCACCAGTACCAGTGGCCAACTCAACCTTTGTAGGGAGAATTCCACTGTTGCCATATGCTTTCCCTGCTGCCATCACCTCTTTGTTTGCAGGCCCACA